GCAGCATGTGGTGCCAGAGATCGAACCGTGGTCCCTGCACTTGCCTAAACAGGCATTTTAGATTGCTGAGCTATCTTGCTGGCCCGTGTGTAACCATTTTTTAAAAAACGTATTTAGTACAGGGTTTACAGGATCTCACTACATAGATCAGACTTGTAGTGATCCTGCCATTTACAGCCTCCCACGCGCTGGTGCTGCCATTTTTGAAAGCACACACTACCACCCCAAACTGAATGCTCACATACTGCATGACTGCAAGTGGCCCAGTGTGTAAGCGCACCCCCAGCCCAAGGCCTGGACGCTCCCAGTGCCTGGTACATGCCTAAATTGAAGGTTGACTAAATAAATGGACGTCCAAAGGTTATGACGCCTGCTCAAGACAGGCACTTTTTTCTCCTCCTCTCCAGGCCACAGGTCTATTGGTTGGTGCCACCATTTGGGTAGGTCTCCTCCTCAGTGTGGCGTCCACAGACACCAAGAACTCTCCTCTACTAATCTAGTAGGTGTTTCACTCCAGCCAAGCAGTGTCATTCAAACTGTTCCATGCATGTTGCAGGTGCAGACACCCGTCAGGACACTGAGGAAGTCTGCCAGGTGCCATGTTTTTTTTTTTTAAATTTATTTTTTACATTTATTTATTGTGTGTGTGTGTGTGTGTGTGTGGCCAGCTCAGCCCACCAGGGGGCACGGCTGGCTGGCATGTGGTGCTGGGGGTTGAACCGCGGTCCCTGTGCTTTGCTAAGCTTGTTCCAAGTAGGTGCTTTAGACCACTGAGCCATCTCTCCAGCCCGCCAGGTGCCATGTTGAAACACCCATTCTTCCTCCATTCTCTTGTTCCTTAAGGAGGCTGTGGGGTCTTCAGCTGGAAGGTGTTTCTTGCTTCCACTGTAGCAAAATGTGACTGTGTGACCAAGTACTGGCCAATGAGATACAGGGGAAGTGCACCCTGTAGAAAACTTTGTGGAAGGGGAAGGATGATAGCACTTTCTGCAGTTCCCTCCTCCTCCTTCCTGGGAGGAGTACATGCGGTATTCATGGATATCACAGGGGGTGGCGTCCCAAAGTCATCTTGCACGAGATGGACTTAAAGACGGAAGTTATTCCTAGTCTGTGGACTGATAAAATGACCAGCTGGAATGGGAGGAAGGAAAGCAGTCAAAGCCATTTTGTAGTTGATTAGTGAGGCCCACTTTGGAATCAATGCCCATTCGTGATGCCGCCAGATGTGTGAAGACAGGCCCTCCCCAGGATTGGTAGGGCCAGACAGTAGCAAAGTAGCACTTGAACAACACTGGACTTTTCAGGTAGTACAGGGACACAGGGAGCTTAGGGGAGAGAAAAGCGGAATACTATCCTTCACAGTGTGTATTTTGCGTGTTTGTGGTAGACTCAAAATGATCCCCAAAGGATCTTTGTTGTAAACGTTAAGGATGTTGAGGTAGGTTTCCTGATCGTGTCCTAAATCATAGCCTTATAAAGGGGAAACTGAGGCAGGCTTTACTGAGAAGACTGAACGTGGCCAGCCAGCACAGCTAGCGGAAGCAAGAACCAGATTATCCCTGGGATAAATATCGTACTTGTTTTTTTTTTTTTTTTTTTTAATGGGGTCTACAGGGTGTTCAGGGTCTCACTACTACGTCAGACTTGTAGCGATCTACCCCTTCAGAGCCTCCCAAGTGCTGGGATTACAGGCATGCACCCCCCCCCAGTCTCAATGTGTCCTGGGGGCGGGGCCAGCATGGCAGGTCCAGGGATGAGACCCCAGGCCCCTGTGGCTGCTTTAATCCGCTGGGCTATTTGACCTTGCAATTCTTTATGAACTTTAGAAATGATTTTTGTTTAAGGACTATTCTTTTGATGGAATTTAAAGTAACTGAAGACTGCTTTAGGGGCTACTGCCATGTTCCCAACACTGTATTCTCATCCACAACTACAGTACACCTTTGTTTCCTTAGTTCTTTCAGCAATTTTGTAGTTACTATATGAATCCTGCACCTTTATTCCTGTTTTATTACTTTAGATG